GAGGACTATGGGGTCCTTGGTCCTCTCTGAGCTTGGCTGTTTTCTTGCAGACGTTTCATGACCTAACTAGGGAACGTCATCGGTGCTAGAAGGGAGTGGGGTTTGCAGAGAGAAGGAGGAGGAGGAAGAGGAGGAGGAAGGAGAGGAGGAGGACAACTTTGGTGTCCTTATGCCCTCTGAGCTTGGTTATTTCCTCGCAGTCGTTTCATGACCCAAGTAGCTAACATCATTCTTGGAACTGAAGCCCACCAGTCTTAAAGTTGCAAGACTGGACACCCCTGGTTTAGCTAACTAGGCCGCCCTTAGTGGCTTCCCCCAACACACTGCTACAAAGGGGGCCCTGGAGCGACCGAATCCAATGTGCGTGTTGGGCAGTGGGCATTAAACACCCGTGTGGTGGCTGGGCTAAGAGCGATGGTGCGCCCTCCTCACCTGTCCGCCTACCTGCCTGCAGGAAAAGGCGGCTGTGCTGGGCGCTCTGGCCAGGAAGGCCCGGCTGACCGAGGAGATCTTCAACCGGGCCCCCGGGATCCACTGCAACCCCGTGCAGGGCGCCATGTACGCTTTCCCACGGATTGAGCTGCCCGCTCGAGCAGTGCAGGAAGCCAAGGTAAGACGGGCACTCCGCAGGTCCGGCCTTTGCAGAGATGGGGGGGCGCAGGTGGATGTGCCCGCTGCAGGGGCCAGGGGGAGGCTGTCTGGCTCCCCCCCCCGGGAAGAGGAGCTCGCTTGCCTGGCTGGGAAAGGACCCCAGAGAATAAGGGAGGGAGGGAAGGGCTGGGTCAGGTGGGCAAGGTGCGGCCCCACCTTCTGCTTGCTGAGGGTGAGACACAAGGCTATGTGCTCACAAGGGTCAAAAAAAGCCAACACTCCAGAAGACAGGATTAGGATACAGGAGGATCTGGACAGACGTGAACACTGGGCGCTATCTAACAAAATGAAATTCAATGGTGAAAAAAATAAGGTTCTATATTTAGGTAAGAAAAAACACATGTGCAGGTATAGTATAGGGGGTACCTTGCTCAATAGTAGTAACTGTGAGAGGGATCTCGGAGTCCTAGTGGACAATCATTTAAATATGAGCCAGCCGTGTGCTGCAGCTGCCAAAAAAGCCAACACAGTGCTAGGCTGCATTAACAGAGGGAGAGAATCAAGATCACATGGAGTGTTAATACCACTTTACAAGGCCTTGGTAAGGCCACCCTTGGAATACTGCATCCAGTTTTGGTCACCACGATGTAAAAAAGATGTTGAGACTCTGGAAAGAGTGCAGAGAAGAGCAACAAAGATGATTAGGGGACTGGAGGCTAAAACATACAAGGAACAGTTGCTGGAATTGGGGGATGTCTAGTTTAACAAAGAGAAGGACGAGGGGGGACAGGATAGCAGTCTTCCAGTATCTCAGGGGCTGCCCCAAAGAAGAGGGAGTCAAGCTGTTCTCCAAAGCGCCTGAAGGCAGGACGAGAAGCAACGGATGGAAACTGATCAAGGAGAGAGTCAACGTAGAATTAAGAAGAAACTAAGTTTTTAAGAAGAGACTGGACAGCCATTTGTCTGAAATGGTGTAGGGTTTCCTGCCTGAGCAGGGAGTTGGACTAGATGACCTCCAAGGTCCCTTCCAACTTTATTACTACTACTACTACTACTACTATTACTACTACTACTTATACTACTACTACTACTATTATTATTATTATTAAGATGGCCGCTGCACGATCCAAGGGTTACAAGGGGATGGGGCTTCAAGCGTGTGGTTTTGATTCGGGAGTGCAGTGATTAGAGCACAGCATGGCAGACTAACTCTGCCCACTGCCGCGAGTTCGATCCTGACCGGCTCAAAGTTGACTTCCGAGGTCGGTAAAACGAGGACCCAGGTTGTTGGGGGCTAATATGCAAATAAAGCGGACTCCGCAAGGGAAAAAGAGTGAAACAACATCCTGTTGCCTCTTGAAAATGCACCTTTTCGGTTGAGCCGTTGCCATTTCGGGTCCCCCTGCAAGCTTATTTTTAATGAGTTCGCGTCCCGCTTTTCCCTTCGCTCCGATGCTTGAGCCGATCCAGGATGGGGCCCTGGAGCTGAAATGCGAGGCCTTCGCGATTGAACCCGGTTCCTTCCTCCCCCCCCCCGGTCTCCCCCTGCAGGCCCAGGGCCAGGCGCCGGACATGTTCTTCTGCCTCAGACTGCTGGAGGAGACGGGCATCTGCGTGGTGCCCGGCAGTGGCTTCGGCCAGAGAGAAGGCACCTTCCACTTCAGGTAAGCCCCCTTCCGCCCTTCCTGGGGGGGGGCTTCTGTGGTCTCCGTCCCGGGATGCTGGGATGGTCGTAGGTGTGAAAAACGGCCAAAAACCCCTTTTTCTGTGCGGTTGTAACTTCAAAAGGTCACTAAATGAATGGATATAAGTTGAAGACTACCTATACTCTTATAGCCTCCTTCCTTCCTTCCTCCACAATCTTTCTTTCTTTCTTTCTTTCTTCCTTCCTTCCTTCCTTCCTCCACAATGTCCTTCCTTCCTTCACAATCTCCTTCCTTCCTTCCTTCTTTCNCCGGCTTGATCAATATCTATGGAGATTCTCAGTCATCCAGGTCACAGTTATCCCAAGGATCCAGCATCCCAAAGGTGCTTTTTCAGGAGGGAAGTGGACTTTCTTGTTTTTCCTTTGAAGGCGTTTCGCTTCTCTTCCCAGAAGCTTCTTCAGTTCTGACTGGATGGTGGGGAAAGGGAAGGATTTATACTCCTTGCAGACAGCCGGTCATTTGCATCCTTTTAGAGCAGGGGTAGTCAACCTTGGCTCTTTTGTGACTCGTGGACTTCAATTCCTGCTGGCTCAGGAATTCTGGGAGTTGAAGTCCACGAGTCATAAAAGAGCCAAGGTTGACTACCCCTGTTTTAGAGGGTCGTTGAGGCCACCTGGAGGCTCACCTGTGTCCTCAGGCTCACCTGAGTGGTGCAGATGGGGGTGGAGCCTTCTTGGAACTGCTGAAAGGACGGTGTGGTAGACTGGAGGTAGATGATGTCCTATCCCTCCCCCTCTGTTGAGGGAGGGGCGTTCAATTTAGACACAGATGGCCTCTTGGGCCCCTCTTTTCACGCCAGTGGTCCTCCCTGTCCAAAAGGTGGACTTTGCTGTCCTCGAAAGAGCGGCCTTCGTCTTTGAAAGGAAGATGGAGGTGCTGAATCTTGTCCCGATGGGTTTGGGCCATACATTTGTGAAGTCGTTCTTTCGCTTCCCCGATGTACAGATCTTTCCATTCCCCACCGTCCAGTCAGAGCTGAAGAAGCTTCTTGGAGGAGAAGCGAAACGTTTTCGAGCAAGGACAGTCCAGTTGACTCTTGAAAAAGCATCTTTGGGATGCTTGATCCGTAGGTTGAATCCTGTCTCTGTCAGGGTGCAGATGCCACACGTGGTTTGGGCCTTCTGGGGACGCACGGTGGGCGATAGACCCAAAAGAAGAAGGACTGATCAGGCTGGGTCTCAGAGCCTTTCATTTCAGGAGCCATCTTGGCCACACTTAGAGAGGCACAGGGCCGGAAGGGGATATTTCGGGGTGGGGGTCTTTACACTGTGGGCACAATTCTTAGGCCAGGGAGTATTTTGACCATGTCATCATTTTCACGCGTATTGTCCACCTCCAAGCTGTATAAACCTGAAGGCCTAGTTCAGGGGTAGGCCACCTTGGCTCTTTTATGACTGGTGGACTTCAACTCCCAGAATTCCTGAGCCAGCCATGCTGAGGGGAAAGGGAGAGGTTTCCAAGCTGAGCCATGCTGGCTCAGGAATTCTGGGAGTTGAAGTCCACGAGTCATTAAGGGGCCATAGTTCCCCCATGCTGGCTCAGGAATTCTGGGAGTTGAAGTCCACCAGTCATGAAGGGACCAAAATTTACCTCATGCTGGCTCAGGAATTCTGGGAGTTGAAGTCCACCAGTCATAAAAGAGCCCAGGTTGCCTACCGCTGTCCTTAGATGGTCAACAATCTTACACTTTCTGCTGACCCTCTGCTGAACATAACTTTCCACACACGCTGGAGCCCGCATCCCTCAGCTACTTTCAGTTCCCTGTTTCTTACAGTCCCAGTCCTTACGTTCTAAATGTATTTGAAACAAGCAAGCTTAGCAAAATCGTGTTAAGTAACGTACAGTTGCAAACTGCAAAATTGAGCATAGCCCAGACGTTGGTTCAATCCTTTTCCATGAGGCCTGATTTAGTTCACCTGGGCATGGAAAAACTATAGCCAATCTTTTCGTCTTCCACAAAGGGATCCAGGAAAAGATCAAGGAGGGGATCCGAGGTGCCCCTTCCGGCTTCTGTTAAGTCCAGGCTGAGTCACTCCTGGATCAGGAGAGGGACTTAAACCCTGCAGAGAAGTGGCTTCAGTGTGGGCCTGGTTAGGAGAGCAGACGGGAGCCGTGGACCATCAGGATGGGGAAGGCAGCGGACCGCCGGTCATTGTTTTTAATCCCTGCAAACTATTTCTCACCACGGCGGGTCAATTCTGCCCCTGTCCTGGCCACAGACAATGCTTTCTTTGAAAGCGCACCAGAGGCCGTGAAGTTCTTTTTGTCTTCTCTCGACAAGATACGATCAGCCCTCCGGGCACCTGGCCCACCGGGCGCTCTTCCAACCTTCTTCTTCCAAAGGGCCGAGCCGCATTGCTGCCCCGGCTGACAGAAGCTCGTCTGGATCTCATTGTTGTGGCAGAGGCTGGCACTGTGGTCTTAATAATAATAATGATAAAGTTGGAAGGGACCTTGGAGGTCATCTAGTCCAACCCCCTGCTCAGGCAGGAAACCCTATACCATTTCGGACAAATGGCTGTCCAGTCTCTTCTTAAAAACTTCCAGTGTTGGAGCATTCACTGCTTCTGGAGGCAGGTTGTTCCACTGGTTAATTGTTCTAAGTGTCAGGAAGTTTCTCCTTAGTTCTAGGTTGCTTCTCTCTTTGGTTAGTTTCCACCCGTTGCTCCTTGTCCTGCCTTCAGGCGCTTTGGAGAATAGCTTGACTCCCTCTTCTTTGGGGCAGCCCCTGAGATACTGGAGGACTGCTATCATGGCCCCCCTCGTCCTTCTCTTCATTAAACTAGACCTACCCAATTCCGGCAGCCGTTCCTTGTATGTTTTAGCCTCCAGTCCCCTGATCATCTTGGTTGCTCTTCTCTGCACTCTTTCTAGAGTCTCAGCATCTTTTTTACATCGTGGTGACCAAAAATGGATGCAGGATTCCAAGTCTTCCAGAGGCCTTGCCTTGCAGCTCCCATCACTGGCCTGGCTGGGGGAGACGGGAGTTATAGTTCAGCCATTTGGTAGGTGTTAATTTGGAGAGGACACCCCCCCCCCCAGTGATGGGAGTCAGTTGGTCTTCAACTGAAGGGGTAACATCACCATCATTTAATGCCTTGGTAAGGCCACACTTGGAATCCTGCATCCAGTTTTGGTCACCATGATGTAAAAAAGATGTTGAGACTCTGGAAAGAGTGCAGAGAAGAGCAACAAAGATGATCAGGGGACTGGAGGCTAAAACATATCAGGAACGGTTGCTGGAATTGGGGATGTCTAGTTTAAGGAAGAGAAGGACGAGGGGGGACAGGATAGCAGCCTTCCAATATCTCAGGGGTTGCCATAAAGAAGAGGGAGTCAAGCTATTCTCCAAAGCGCCAGAAGGCAGGACAAGAAGCAACGGGTGGAAACTAACCAAAGAGAGAAGCAACCTGGAACTAAGGAGAAATTTCTTGACAGTGAGAACAATTAACCAGTGAAATAGTTCAGTTGGTTTGATAAATGTGTACCTTAATTTACGGGCAACAAACACTAAATAGTAATTAACAGAATAACAGAATTGGAAGGGACCTTGGAGGTCATCTAGTCCAGGCCTTTTCAACCTTTTCACCCATTGTACCACTTTTAGGATATGGCAACATCCGAGTACCACCAGTCGCCTAGCAAGGTGTCAAAAACTTGATCACCAAAAAAAAAAAAGGAAAAAAGTGATGAAGTACCACTGGTTGAAAAGACCTGGACTAGTCATGCACCAGGTTGAAAAATGAGCCCCTTAATTGCAGTCACTGTACAGGGAGTCCTCAATTTACAACAACAAGGGAGCCCAACATTTCTGCTGCTAAGCCAGACAGTTGTTAAGTGAGTTTTGCCCCGTTTTACGACCTGTCTTGCCACAATTGTGAAGTGAATATCACTGCAGTTTTTAAGTTAGTAACATGGTCGTGAAGCGAATCCGGCTTCCCCGTGGATTTTGCTCATCAGAAGGTGGCGAAAGTGCGGTCACGTGACCCCCTCTGGGACGCTGCAACAGTCACAAGTACATGCCAGTTGCCAAGCCTCTGAATTTTGATCACGTGACCACGGGGAGGCTGTCACGGCCGTAAGGGTGAAAAATGGTCATAAGCCCCTTTTTTCAGTGCCGCTGTAACTTTGAGCGGTCACTAAATGAACGGTCGTAAGTTGAGGACTCCTTGCACTCTGTCCAGCTGTGGTCACTCTGAGAGCAGAAGAACAGGCTCCAGCGGCCAAGCTTGACCATAGGGCTTCAGGTCAGCTGAAGTGGCTTTCTGCTGCTCCCCACGGAGTCGTCCATGGGACGGGGAGACTCTCGTTGTAGGATGGGGGAGCCTGCAGAGATCCAAGGGCCATGTGGGGGGGGACCCTGGTCCTGAACCTTCCAAGAGGACCTCCTACATCTTCTGAACAGGAGGTGTCCTGAAGATCTGCAGGAACCTCCCTCTTGGGGCGTTTACGTTCCTCCAAGCGTTGGACACAACTGGATGGATAACATCAACACCCTCCCTGAGGGCGAAGCCAGCCAAGCGCCGTCTGGGACCCAGAAGTCTGGGGCAAAGTGCCCTCTGGACCCCCTCCAGCACCCCACGTGCTTCCCCTTTCATGGCCCGCCTAGGCTGCTTATGGCAGCTCTCCGCCCTGCCTGCGCACAGGATGCCTAAACTCTGGAGCTTGCTGCTGGCTGTGGGTCTGGTGGAAGGGCTGAAGGGGACCCTGAGCTGCGTGCCTCCTCCAGGGGGTAAGAAGGGGGAAGGGGGAAGCTGTGTTGTGGGGACGTTTGGCACAAAAGTCAGGAGGGAGCTGGCTTGGGGCAGGGAATGTCCTGGCTTGAAGAACATCTAGTAGTTCTTCTTTTGGAAGAGCCAGAAGAACTTTGGAGGGTCCTAACGAGAGGGAAGACATGTCTAGTCTAACACAGAGAAGGACCAGGGGGGACATGATAGCAGGCTTCCAATACTGGAGGGGCTGCCCCAAAGAAGAGGGGGTCAACCCATTCTCCAAAGCCCCTGAAGGCAGGAAAAGATGGATGGAAACTCATCAAGGAGAGAAGCAACCTAGAACTAAGGAGAAACTTCCTGACAGTGAGAGCAATTAACCAGTGGAACAACCTGCCTCCAGAAGTTGTGGATGCTCCAACACTGGAGATTTTAAAAAAAAAAAAAAAGACTGGACAGCCACTTGTCTGAAATGGTTTAGGGTCTTCCGCTTGAGCAGGGGGTTGGTCTAGAAGACCTCCAAGGTACCTTCCAGTTCTGTTTATTCTGGCTGGGAGGGAGAAGGGGACACCGGAGCCTTCGGTCTGTGCTTACCCCAAGCCTCAGTTCTGGTCGTCCCCTCCGGTGATTCCCCCCACCCCCACCCCCACCCCAGCCTCCTGCCCTCCATCTACGTTGGGCTAATATTGTGCACCATCCCCCACCTGAGGACAGGCGCCTCCGAGGCCATGCCCACCTCCATCCAGGTCGTAGGACGGCCATCTGAGTGCCATCCTGCCATGGGTCCTGCCCTCTTTCTCCAGGCAGAGGCCATCAGCGAATTGCAGGCTGACCCAATTGCAGGGGGCCCAGATGACACCCCAGTGTAGCTCCCACGGGCTCTTCCAGCGTCCATCCCTGCCATGTCACTGCCAGGTTGCCTCACCTTTGGGTCTTGAGAATGTGGAATCCTCACTTGAGGATCCTGGATCCCTCCTCTTCTTGCGTTGGCTTATTCTTCCTCCTCCTCCTCCTCCTCCTCCAGGACCTCTCTAGGAAGCTCTTCCTCTGCTCCAACGCCTTCCCTGGGGTCTCTCTTCTCTGCAGCCCCCTCTCGAGGTCTCGCATCAGAGCTTGGAGGAAGAGGGGCAGGAAGCATCCAAGACTTTAAGAGAGGAAGGGGAAGGGTCTTCTTTGCCATGGGGTCAATAAAGGTCAATAATGTTGGGACATGAAGTTGAAAGGGAGTTTCTGGCTCTCCACCTCGTCCTCCTCCTCCTCCTCCTCCCTTCTAGCACTGATGATGTTACCTAGTCGGGTAATGAAATGTCTGCAAGAAAATCACCAACCTCAGTGAGCACCAAAGACCCCATAGTCATTGTCCTCCTCCTCCTCTTCTTCCTCCTCCTCCTCCTCCTCCTCCTCCTCCTCCTCCCTTCTAGCATTAATGATGTTACCTGGTTGGGTAATGAAATGTCTGCAAGAAAACTACCAACCTCAGTGAGCATCAAAGACCCCATAGTCATTGTTGTTGTTGTCATCATCATCGTCATCGTTGTCATCGTCGTCGTCCTCCTCCTCCTCCTCCTCCTCCTCTTCTTCCTCCTCCTCCTCCTCCTCCCTTCTAGCACTGATGATGTTACTAGGGTTGCCAGGTCTGCTTCCAAAAAATAGCGGACAAGCGGGGGGGGGGGGTTAAGTAGTAAAAAAAAGTAGACTGTACAGCTTTAGATTACGTACCATTTCATCATAAAGCTTTTGAATAAAAAAAATGTCCACTATTTTGTGAAAAAAAATAGTGAACATAATGTGAAAAAAGTGGACTGTCCACTCAAATAGTGGACACCTGGCAACCCTAGATGTTACCTAGTTGGATAATGAAATGTCTGCAAGAAAACCACCAACCTCAGAGAGCACCAAGGATGCCATAGTCCTCCTCCTCCTCCTCCTCCTCCTCCTCTTCCTCTTCCTCCTCCATTCTACAAACCCTTCTAGCACTGTTGATGTTACCTAGTTGGGTCATGAAACGTCTGCAAGAAAACAGCCAAGCTCAGAGAGCACCAAGGACCCCACAGTCGTCGTCGTCGTCGTCGTCGTCCTCCTCCTCCTCCTCCTCCTCCTCCTCCTCCTCCTCCTCCTCCTCCTCCTTCACTCTCAGTCTAAGGAATGAATGGTCAGCTAAGACATCACTCCATGTCGCCCTTTGCCTCCCCAGCCAGGAACTGGGCCAGGGGCCAGCCTGCCACGCAGTCCTCCACCTACCCGCAGTGGGGCACCGTCTACAGCCATGCAGGGAGCGCCGTAGATGGCAACCGCGACGGAGACTGGCGTCACGGCTCCTGCAGCCATACCCTGGCGGAGGAAGAGCCCTGGTGGAGCCTGGATCTGGGTGCCTCCTACGCCATCTCGGCCGTGGTGGTGAAGAATCGCCAGGAGTGCTGCTCCGGGCGGCTCAAGGGGGCCCAGATCCGCGTGGGAGAGTGTGGGGTCAACCACGGCAAGTGCAATCCAATGTAAGGAGCCTCAACCCAAGACAAAGGGGGGGGGCAGAGCTGCTTTCTTCGCAACGGGGCCCAGGGGGAGCCCAGGGGGTGTCTGGATGTGTGGCATTTATGGGAGGTGTGAAAAAGGGGCGGAGCTCCATCACAGAGCCACCATCTTGCCTTTTTTTTTTAAAATGAAGACTATCTGGTCACGCAACCACCTGGGATCTGTCCAATTATTTCCAGCCCAAAGAATCCTCAAGAAAAAGCTTGGAAGGGATGGTTGAGCGATGGACATTATCAGACCGGGATTCTCCAACCTGGCATTCCCCCCTCCGCCACCTGCAGGCTCAGCATTCTGGGCATTGCAGTCCCTTTTCCTAGAGGTCAGATCGAGGGGGAACGGTGCTTCGAGGACCACTCCTCAGCCAGTTGTCTCTCCGCCAGGAGATTCCCCGAAGAGGCTTTTCCAAAAGGGCAACTGGACTGTCTTGGTTTTCTTTCCCCCTTGAAAAAGTTTCATTTCTCATCCAAGAAGCATCTCCAGTTCTGACTGACAGGTGGGGGAAGGGAAGGATTCACTGGTGGGATCTTTCTGTCGCAGTCGCTGAGTTTGGGAGCTTACTTAGTGGTCCTAGATCAGGGGTGGGCAACCTCGGCTCTTTTAGGACTGGTGGACTTCAACTCCCAGAATTCCTGAGCCAGCCATGCTGAGGGGAAAGGGAGAGTTTTCCAAGCTGAGCCATGCTGGCTCAGGAATTCTGGGAGTTGAAGTCCACGAGTCATAAAAGAGCCAAGTTTGAAGACTCCTGTCTTAAATCTAACAAACAAAATGGAGGCTGGCTGAGGAATTCTGGGAGTTGAAGTCCACGAGTCATAAAAGAGCCAAGTTTGAAGACTCCTGTCTTAAATCTAACAAACAAAATGGAGGCTGGCTCAGGAATTCTGGGAGTTGAAGTCCACGAGTCATAAAAGAGCCAAGTTTGAAGACTCCTGTCTTAAATCTAACAAACAAAATGGAGGCTGGCTGAGGAATTCTGGGAGTTGAAGTCCACCAGTCATAAAAGAGCCAAGGTTGCCTACCCCTGTCCTAGGTCAAGTAAAGGTCAAGGCTTCCCCTGTCCAGTCATGTCCGACTCTCTCATCTCCCTTTCTTAGCCAAGGGAGCCAGCAATGTCTGAAGACGCTTCCGTGGTCATGTAGCCAGCATGGCTAAACACCTCAGTGCACTGAATGCTGTTACTTTCCCACCAGCGGTACCTATTAATCTATTTGCACCTGCGTGCTTTTGAATTGCTACCTGGGCAGGAGCTGGGGCAAGGAACGGGGGCTCACCCCGTTGCACGGAGCTCAGGTCTTGAGCCCTGATATCTTTTAAATTAAAGAATTAATTAAATTAAATTAAAAAGTTAAGTTAAGAATTAAGGAGAAACTTCCTGAGAGTGAGAACAATTAACCAGTGGCATGGCTGGCCTCCAGAAGGTGTGGGTAGAGGTTTTCAAGAAGAGACTGGACAGGCACTTGAGCAGGGGGTGGACTAGAAGACCTCCACGGCCCCTTCCAAACTCTATTCTGATTGAAGACTGACGCCTCTCACCCTAACGCAAACCCTGAGTAAATTGAGTTTTTATTCCCTGCAGCTGTGGGACCATCTCCAATGGCAGCGCCGGCTCCCTCAGCGTTATCTGCTGCGGTGGACTACGAGGGCGCTACGTGACGGTGGTCATCCCTGGCCGAGCAGAGTACCTGACCCTCTGTGAGCTGGAGGTCTACGGCTCCCAAGTGGAGAAGGGCTGCTAGAGAGCATCCAGAAGGTGGCCAGGAGCTGGCCTGGGAATGTCTCTCTAATAAAACTCCTGATTCAAGGAACGCTTTCTTGTGTCCTTCCTCAGCTGGCGGGGTTAGGCTTAGGCCCTGTTTCTGACCAATAGCCAGGGGGTCCCCTGGCTTTGAACACGGGTCCTCTTTGGGGCGGCTGCATTTTGGGGAACAGGCTGCTCGGCACACCAAGCACACGGGCCGTTGAAAAAGTTGGTCACCTATTGCGGATCTGTTTAGTTCAACATGAGGAATAAAGGCTGCCACCCAACAGGGAGATCCGACTACCAGGCCAGCCATGTTAGGCCTGAGACAGGGCTGGCAGGCAAGCGGCATGCGTAGATGATTTTAGGTTTTAGATGGTTATTTTAGATTTTAGATTTTAGATTTTAGATTTTAGATTTTAGATTTTAGATTTTAGATTTTAGATTTTAGATTTTAGATTTTAGATTTTAGATTTTAGATTTTAGATTTTAGATTTTAGATTTTAGATTTTAGATTTTAGATTTTGAGTTTAGAGTTTAGAGTTTTTAGTTTCTAGGTTTTAGATTTTAGATTTTTATTTTTTACCAGTTCAAAGTTGACTTAGCTTTCTGTCCTTCTGAGGTTGGTAAAATGAGGACCCAGATTGCTGGGGGCAACATGCTGACTCTGTAAAATGCTTAGAGAGGGTTGTAAAGCACTGTGAAGCAGTAGATAAGTCTAAGTGCTATTGCTACTGCCCTTCCTTCCTTCCTTCCTTCCTTCCTTCCTTCCTTCCTTCCTTCCTTTTCGTTTCTTCTTGTCCTGCCTTCTGGTGCTTTGGAGAATAGCTTGACTCCCTCTTCTTTGGGGCAGCCCCTCAAATACTGGAATCCTGCTGTCATATCACCCCTCGTTCTTCTTTTCTCTAAACTGGGCATATCTAGCTTGCTCAATCATTCATCATACGATTTTGCCTCCAGACCTTTATCATCTTCGTTGCTCTTCTCTGCACGGTTTCTAGAGCTTCAACATCATTTTGTATCATGGTGAGCGACGTACATGTACTGATAGATACTTTAATGGGGAAATCTGAATTCTGATAGTGTAAGAGAGGGAGAAATATTATTTTCCATATTGCTGCTGCGTCTACCTACCTTCATTCCAAACTGCGCAAGACGTATCTCTGTAGCAGAGCTGCGTAAGTCCCTTAAATGTTTTGATCTCAGATTTTCGATCTTTCCCAGCTGACCAAAACACGTTTTTGTGTGTGTGGGCCAGTGCACACTATTCTCCAGGGGTAAGCTAACCACATATTTATACAAGGGCATTGCTGTATTGTGTCTTTTATTTCCTTTCTTCTCTTAATAAGGCCAAAACATGGACTTTGCTCTTTGGACAGCAGGTGTGAACCCAGCTGAACCTTGCTTTAGATCAGGAGTAGTCAACCTTGGCTCTTTTATGACTCGTGGACTTCAATTCCCAGAATTCCTGAGCCAGCTTAGCTGGCTCAGGAATTCTGGGAGTTGAAGTCCACGAGCCATAAAAGAGCCAAGGTTGACTACCCCTGCTTTAGATCACTCACATGTTCCTCGTGTGGATACGAAGGCATTCATGAGCACCCCATCATATTTCAATTGTATTTCAAACCGCCCAGGGTCACCTCGTAGGGGAGACGGGCAGCATGTAAATTTAATAAATAAATAAATTAACTTGCACCTGCTCATTTGAGATTCATACCAAAAGCCACCGTAGTCTTAGGCTACATCAACAGGAAGTATCAAGGTCATGTGAAGTGTTAATGCCACTTTACGATGCCTTGGTAAGACCCCATTTGGAATACCGCATCCAGCTTTGATTTCCACAATGTAAAAAAAGATGCTGAGACTCTAGAAAGAGGGCAGAGAAGAGCATCAAAGATGATCAGGGGACTGGAGGGTAAACATATAAGGAACGGTTGATGGAATTGGGTATGTCTAGTTTAATGAAGAGAAGGACGAGGGGGGACACGATAGCAGCCTTCCAATATCTCAGGGGCTGC